TTTTTTGCAGAACCGTGGATTGAACTCAGGTCCTTGCGCTTGCCAACCAAGCACTTATTCTACTGAGCCATCTCCCAGCCCCCGAAGTGAATTTCTTGATAGGCAGAAATGCCTTTAACAGATTCCCAAGAAATGTTAAGCATTGCCACCATCTGAGCTGTGTTGGGTGGTACTCAATATATATTGCTGCATATAACCCTAGCTACTCACCCGGACAATTTAACAAGAATTTGTCTTTAAGAAATGAAAAAGGGCACGTGCAAGCAGGTGCAGGGGCCGGGGCTTCAATCCCCGGGCCTGCCATGCTGGCCCCGAACCCGGGGCAAGCTGAGATGGCAATTGAGACTGGTCTTGGTGGTGTGCGCCTGTAATGCGCCCATCTCGGCCCTGGGAAGACAACCATCTCGGCCCCGGGAAGACAACTACAACCGGGGTGTGAAGAACCCGGGAAAAGTGGCTGAACCCTCTCTTGGGTTTAAGGGGCAGGCAATGTTACTGGACAGCGGCGCACTCCTTCCATCCTGCATGGGATCTCTTCCACTCCCAACCCAGGCTGTGGTCCTCCCTCACAGCACCTTTTTCTCAAACTTGTCCCAATATTGTCTTTCTGGGTGGTAACCAATGGTAGTAGCAGGCTCAGGAGGGGACAGTGGGTGCCAAGTGGCCATAGCAGAACGGGACAGGGCAGGGGTGGCTCAGGGCCAGGGGTGTGACCATGGACCTTCTGAGCAGGGATCTCAGGACTAGGGACCTGGAGTGGTGACCCCAGCATTGGCTGCACGTGGCCCCGAAGGTGGTTCAGGTGCCCCCTCCCCTGGATCATCATTCTTTCCCTTCCGGGATAAAGGGAAGGGGAAAATAGTGACCCAACAGGAAGACCCCAGCCTCTTGGACTAGGGCTTGCAGGAGCTGGAGCTGCACCCAGAGCTGGCTCACCAGTGTGGCTCTCAAACCTCACTGAAAACTAGTAAAATATTCCAGTGTTCCTGCCTTTTGTGGTGCACGCCCTTAACCCCAGCATTCTGGATAACTGAGGTAGGAGGATCACTCACTCACTTCAGGCCCAGTCAGGGCAGTTTGAGCTTTTGAGAGAGGGTCTTGATATGCACCACAGACTGGCCTCAAACTTGCAAGCCACCATGCCCAACTAGTCTGGGCTATTTGGCAGGACCCTTTTCAAAAAAAAGGACAGGGGGCTGGGGAGATGGCTCAGTAGAATAAGCGCTTCCCTGGCAAGCAAAAGGTCCTGAGTTCAATCCCCGGTTCTGCAAAAAAAAAAAAAAAAAAAAAAAAAAGACAGGACTGAACTAATCTCCAGGATGGAGGAAGGGGAATTCGGCACTTGGACTCATCAGAATTTGGGCTGGATCCCAGAGCTCCACTGTGCAGTGCTGGTGGAGTGCAAACAGTGTTGAGGTCAGCAGGTTGGAGGTGACCTAGAGTCCTGATCCAGAAGGGGAAGGGGCCACTAAAAGAAAGCTCTAACCTGGATGGTGGTGGTGCCTGCAATCCTAGCACTCTGGTAGCTGAGGCAGAAAGAGCCCACATTCTAGTTGGACAATGCAGTGACTTACTGAATTTCTCAGAAAAAGCCAAAGCAAAACAAAACAAAAAACAAGGAAGGGGTGAGCATGTGCAGAAGGCTCAGGTTCGGTTCCCCACGACTGGCAGGTTAAGATGGGGAAAACTGTCTACCTCAGCTGGGGAAGCTTCCTCCACCAGGATTCCACTTCTAGGCCTCAGTGCAGCCGGGAAGATAGTAGAGCTCTCAGCACCTTTGCAGCTCTAGCTTGCCAGGGCAGGGCCAGCAAATGGAGCAGTCCTGTTGGTGCCAAGTAGCATCACCATGTGGGCAGAAGAGTGCAACTTGGAATGGATGCTCGGAATGGATGCGCCTGAGACCACATTAAGTGAAACCGGATGCACAAGCTTAAATATTGCATGGTTATACGAGAGCCAAAGTATAAGGAACAAAGAAAAGATAATAGAAAAGATAGATCTTTTGCAAGTAGGAAGGGGATCAAGAAATAAAAGGGAAGGGGATATTTAAAAAAAAACGTTATTGGGCTGGTGAGATGGCTCAGTGGTCTAAAGCACCTACTTAGAACAAGCTTGGCAAAGCACAGGGACTGCGGTTCAATCCCCCAGCACCACATGCCAGCCAGCCCCGCCCCCTGGTGGGCTGAGCTGGCCACACACACACACACACACACACACACACACATAAATTTTAAAAAAATGTTATTGATGGGTGATGCCTATAGTGAACAGCACTCAGGAGGCTGAGGCAGGATTGTGGAGTTTGAGGATAGTCTGAGTTAAGTGTTCAAAGCCAGCCTGAACTACATAGGGAGACCCTCTCTGAATTCTCCACTCCCCATTTTTTTTTAAGATTTGATACAGTGTTTCAATATGTTGCTCTGACTCATATGGGTCCTCCTGTCTCAGCCTTCCCAGCACTGGGATTACAGACATGCACCACCACACCCAGTTTCGATGGCTGGCGTGGTGTGGGGCCAGCACAGCATGTGCTACTGGGAATCAACCTGGGTCCTTACGCTTGCCAGTCAGGCACTTAGACTGCTATCTCCCCAGCCTCCCTACTTATTTTGTTATGTACTAACTTGTAGGAATTTCCCCACCATGCATGTAATCATGTATTGCAAATGTACTAATTTTTTAAAAATAGGGACAGGTAATAATAGTGAGCTGGGGGTGGTGATGGTGTCAGTTCTAGAGAGCTTCTCAAAAAGCTGGATCAGGACTCCACAGGACCAACAGGCCAGGGGTGGGGGTGGAGATGTCTTTTATTTTCTGCAGAGTAAGTTGTTAGGTCTGGTTGCTGGTCTGAGATGAGGCTTTTCCTAACCTAGGTGGGAGATAGGTCAAGGGAACACCTACACACGCCTAAGGGTCAGTCACCCCGCCACAGAACCCAACCTTGTTGACAAACACCTTTTCAAAGTAAAGGTATTCTTCACAGGCATTTCTGGGTACAATTTCTTCCAGAAGGATTTGACAGACTTGACATTTCCAGTTAAGATTAATCTCTCTCAAATTCAGCACAATTCTCCAAGGACAAGGAGGAGAAAGTGGAGGAAGAGGCAGTGGCAGCAAGGACATTTTAGTACAGTTCTATATACTGTATGACAGCCAAGCATGGTGGGTGGTACCTGGCAGTAATCCCAGCTACTCAGGAGACTGAGGCAGGAATATCCCATTTGAGGTCAACTTGGACAATTAACTTGAGAAGACCCTGTCTCCAAATAAGATTTAAAAAGGGAGGTGGGAAAAAACCAGGGAGTTGGCAGGTGTGTAGCTCAATGGTAGTGTACTTGCTTAACACTCTTAAGGCCGCAGGTCCAACTCAGTACCAGGGGGAAATGTATAGGCTATTGAAGTTCTTATCATAAAAGTTGGGAGTTTTCAACATGCATATAAACAGGCATGGAATAGAGCATAATCATATGAAATCAAAGATACACTTATGCTCAGAATTAGAACACAAAAATGAGGGACAAGATCCTGGCTGAAGGAGTGTATGAGGCCTTAGGCAGACCCATATCTTTTTTATTAAAATGGGAATCAAATTCAGGACCTCACGCCTGTGAAGCAGGCACCATGTCACTGAGTTATATCCCCAGTCTGGCCTTTGGCAGGCCCCAAAACACAAGTGTCCTCTGATACTTACCTTAAAAGCTCATCAGGAGGGTCACATATTGAAAGGAACAGAAAAGGACTTAAGCCAAGGGAGGTGGTGCATGTCTATAACCTCAGCACACCAGAGGTTGAGGTAAGAAGAGTCCAAGTTCAAGCCCAGCCTGGGCTTAGGGACTCAATGTCAAAATAAATACAAATAAAAGGTATTTAAGAAAGGCAATTTAGCTAACAGGCCCTGCTTGGAACCTGGCTGCTCTGTTTTCCGTAACTTGGCTTAAAACAGGTCTAGTTAGCTCATGCCCAGCACATCCTTAGAAGCGTTCGTATATGTCCTCCTACTTCTTTTATAACACACAAATAGCTCAGTGTTCACACTGACAGCAGTTACCAGCGACATGGCTCTCCAGTCCCAGAGGGCGGAGTTTGAGGCAGAGCTCAGTGGTATTCACAGAAAGCATTTAGTCTCAGGAATTGTGTTAAAACAATCAAGAATTCACTTGTTTTAAGAGGTTAAAAGAACATAACAGCAAAGGATTAAATTATAAACACCTGGCACACACATCTCTTCGTATATGGGTGCTTAGAAGGAAAAACACCCAATTTCTCCATGCTGGTTCAGTGTGTGAGATCCACTGTCCCATGTTCAGAAGACTAAGACCCAGCACCAGGATCACTAGGAGCAGATTCTTTCTCTTATGGAGAGACGCCCCAAATGTCTGAGTTTGGTGTAAGGGTGCCCTTAGGGCACAGCAGCAGCACAAGTGTGTCTCTGAGAAGCACCAGGCGTTTCACCACTCCTAACTGCTGTGGAGGTTGGTGGAGGCTGACTGAGGAGAAACTGAAACACTGAAGCCGCTGCTGCCACCGGCTGATGCAAGTTTTATTGAGACAATGTACAAACAGGCCATGGAAACAAGGGTTGATGCTGGGACCAGTAACGTAAAATAGAATACAAAAATAAAAAGGCACTAAATCTGATAAGAAAAGACACTCAATGTATTCTAAGAATATAAGTCATTTAATACTGTTAATTTTATAGCACAAAATAAAACAAGCTATGATCCCCAAAAATAATTTTAAAAGCTTACACAGAAAATATTATTGCCTGAAGTTTATGATCTTTAAGTTACAGGTCAAAAGAGTTTTACATTGTTGTTGTTTTAAAACACACAGTGAAGACCGTCTAGAAGCAAGGCCACTGTTCCTCCTGCAGGGACAACGATCCTGTTTCAGAGAACTGTTCTTCTACTTCTTTTATAACACACAAACAGCTCAGTGTTCACACTGACAGCAGTTACCGGCGGAGACATGGCTCTCCAGTCCCAGAGGGTGGAGTTTGAGGCAGAGCTCAGTGGTGTCCACAGAAAGCATTTAGTCTTAGGAACTGTGTTAAAACAATCAAGAATTCACTCGTTTTAAGAGGTTAATGAACATAATATTAAAGGATTAAATTATAAACACCTGGCACAAAAACACATCATCCCTTTTCAAAAAAAAAAAAAAAAAAAAAGTTCATATTCCTCTGAGCGAATGTCACAAGAGCAGTTGGCCGTTCACCTCAGGCCTGCCTTGTCTGTAAACAGCTGTGAAGGAAGGCCAGGGGCGTGAAGCTCCGAGCGGGGGCAGCAGTCTTTCCCTCCTTCCCTTCAGCATATGAGGTGTCAAGTCTGGGTGACCAAAGTCATCTAATGGCAGCTGGTCAAAGCATCCTCTTTGTTAAGCATGTCATTAGGTGGTGCCACGCAGCGCAGAAGTGACAAGAAAGACTCCTGTAATGGAGGTCCTTCCCAGGACAAGCAAGTTTTTAATCAAGAGTATCAATGCCCTCTATACATAATTTGTGTCATCTCCAGGTAAAAAGAACCACAATGAGTTAATCTAATATCCAGATATCGTCTACAAGACAGTAGAGCAGAGCAAGTGGCAACAACGAATAATCATAAAAGATAACTTATCCCTGGGTCAAATTCACACTGCTGAATGAAGTGTGACTCTCTAGAATAGCAGGAAGCCAGAATGAAATCCAGGCAGGGATACTGCTTTCCTCTTTAGTGTGAAAAAGAGAAATTTCTCTGCTTGATTTAAAAACTAATAAAAGTTCTATGTCAAATAACTACTTTTGGCACGTATTTTGAGAGTTCAGAACTCAAGGCTCAAGTTATTCCAAGCTCAGAATCTCCCAGGCAGCCCTAGAGATGTTTACATGGGCTGAAATAATTCATTATGAAACCAAACTCTAGGTTTATTGGGTATTTTGATTCTGAAGTGCTCCACAAGAGATGGATCAGCAGATCTGGTTAAAAGAAAACTCTGCTTTCCAAAATGGCCATTTACTGCTTGTACTGTAAGCTAACTGCTGCAAAAGGTGTCACGAAGTGCTTCAACTCAATCTGGTTATAAAGGCCTCATGGACCACACCCTCTTTGAAGAAGATGTGAATTTCACCTGCTAGATACCCATAACAATCAGGGCACCAAGGACCAGGTCACTGCCACAAGGCATGTACTGTTTCTACATAGAGTATGGGGATTCTGTCACAAGTCTACCACTTGTAGATGTCAGGATGAGCCTAAATGAGCACAAGCCCACTCAAGACCTTAGCAGAAAAAGCAAGCGCAAGGGACTAGCTTCGGCACAGGAGGTGGCCACATTTTTCATTGGTAAATGAAACATGGAGCTCTGTATCTTTTTTAAGAAAACCACAGACAGGCAACTGAGGTGTTTTTCAAATTCACCATTATTTTGCCATAGGAACGCTCTTAAGATTCTTTAAAGTGGCAATTATGAGCCTGACAAAATATAGAGTTATAAGGAAACTGAAAAATAGAAAAATGGTTGTTTTGCTGGTGCTGCCACCAGAATGTGTCACTTCAAACCTCAAAACCTCCAGAGACAGGACCACTGTTGCAGTAGACACTTTATAAATGCTAGAATTAATTTCTAGGTTGTTGCTACATTTCCAGGTCTGTTGTGTTTATTCTGAGCCGAGGGCTGTCCAGAAGGGAAAACAGACTGTACTATACAAAGGTTCCAGAATTCTAGTCTGCCATGTACAGATGAGGGACTGGTCACACATTTGTACCAGTTGGCTTATATAAACAGTCCTCTTTTAGCTAAGAGAAAAATGTTTTCACATTAAACAAATTGGTAAGTGGTTAATGGTAAATTGGTTAAGGGCTCTTCCTATTCACTAGATCTCAAGTGTACTAACCAGTTTTCTGAGCTTGCATTTCCTTTGCTTGGGAACATGGAACCAGCATAAACAGCACCATCTTTCTCTGGCAGCTTGAGGACAACTGGGGAGGGCTTCTGCAAGGAGATCGAATGATCCAGTTTAATGATTCACTAATGAATCTGATGATCCTATGAACTTAGATTTTAGAAGAAACAGTCTTATATATTGAAGGGAAATGTTTACTAAAAAGGTGGATAAAAAACTGGCCAAGTGCTCCACCCTCCTTAATGCTCCTGTCACTGGCAAACAAGGTAAGCGAAGGTTCCCCAGTATCACCCTCCACTCTGATGCTTCTGGGACACAGTAATCCAAGAGGTTGTGCACAAAACTTGGCACACCATGACTGCTGATTTTGTGTTAGCTATATGATTGACAACCAAGACAATAAAGGCCTCTGATTCAGGGTTGTTCTTTTCATATTCCATTAGTTACAGCAGCTTCAGTACAAAAGCTCAGAGGCACATGTCTTTCCTTGGACTACTGAAAAAATCCAACCTGCTACTCAAAAATCTGTTCAGGACACACAAGTGCAAGTCTTCCAAAACCAAACCAAAACAAAGAAAATGCAAGAAAAGCCATATGTGAGGGATTTAGGACAGAATTCTCTCTTCCTTATGGTTCCTTTGTTGTCCAAGGAATAACAAGTTGGTGGCAGAGTCACTGCTCCATGGAACAGCAACAAGGCAGGATCTCACCGTGGCCTCAAGCTTTCTCTGACGAACATGACAAATTGGTATCAAGTACAAACAGGGCAGTAAGGAGAAGGAAGACCCTTTCCTTGTCAACTTCTCTCCATTTGTGTGCTTCCACCAGTATTTCCAGTTTATGATCCAAAAGAATTCTAAAACCGGCTACTCTTTGACGATATGACTATGATACAAACGCCAGGAGGCAACCGCTGTGTGCATTCCAAATGTGGATGAGAGACCTCCAGCCTGCAGAAAGCTGGCCGCTGGCAATGCAGTGTAACTTGCCTATGAGAGAGAATGCGTTCCCACTTCAAGAAGACTATGACAGGCAGAACGACAAAGCAGCAGAAAACAGGGCAAAGCAGTCACTCATTTTCATCTGGGTTTTGAGGGTCAATGATTTTGACATGCGTAAAGGGGAAAAGCCCTTTGCGCCCATTCACCTCGCCTTCCCACTGGCCATTTATATTCATCCTGGTGACTTTTACTATGTCGCCAACCTGTAGGGATGGAGAAAAAAGATAAAGTTAGTATTTACTTAGGAATTCATAAAAAAAAAATGTTGTTTCTTGAGACAGGGTCTAACTATGTAGTTCAGGCTGGCCTCCAACTTGAGGTAATCATACTGCCTCACCCTGAGTGCTGGGATTATAGGCAGGTGCCACCAAGCTCTGCTTGATCACTTTTTACAACTACTCAATTTTTCACCCTAGCACTTAGACCTAAAAATCATGCAATGCCAAAGACACAATGAGTCTAATGCATTACTCAACTGGCTAAAATGCATGCCAGAAGCAGACTCTGAGCACACATTGGTACTAAACCCAATGAGAAAGAAATGAACACCTGACTCTCACTGATTAAAGTCAAAACATACAGAAATGTGTACTAGAAATCTAGCTAGGTACAGGTGTACACTTACTCAGGAAGCTGAAGCAGGAAGGTCTGTGCCTAGCCTGGGCTGCATAGGGAGATACTGTTTCCAAATAAATAAATAAATAAATAAATCAATCAATCAAATCTAATGAAGTTAAAGGAAAGGAACAGGGGAAAAGGGACAAATAAATTCCACCCCAATTCACATGAGATGCAACTGTTGTCATCACAGTCCCCCCAGCAGCAAAATGACTCCAAGTTGTCCATCCCCCATGTGTTCAAGGTCAGCTTGAACTACAGAATAAAACCCTGTCTCAAAAATTTCATGAAAACAACTTTAACGGGGCCGGGGAGATGGCTCAGTAGAATAAGCGCTTTCCTGGCAAACACAAGGGCCTGAGTTCAATCCCCGGTTCCGCAAAAAAAA